CCCCAACCACCATGAAACAAAACAAACATAGTAACAGGTATCACCATTTAAGTTTTTATGCAGGTTGTTGTTTTTTTATGTGTCTTTATTGACTTTAGAGAGATAGGAACATCAATGAGACAGAAACGTCTATAGGCTGCCTCTCGCATGCCCCCACCTGGGATGGAGCCTGCAACCCAGGCATGTGCCCTGACCAGGAATCAAACCGGGGACCCCGTGGTTCATGGGTTGATGCTCAGTCACTGAGCAGTGGGGTGATTTTATGCAGTTTTTAAATGTATGCTATTGTTTTATTTTGTTTATTCAGATAGCTGTTCACTTTACATACAATAAAATGCACAGGTCAATGTTCTGTTCCATGAGTTTTGACAGTTGCATACATTTGTTTAACCACAACCCAAAACACCATATTGAGTATTTCATCACCCCAGAAAAATCCCTCTAATGCAGCGGTTCTCAACCTGTGGGTCGCGACCCCCGTGGCGGTCGAATGACCCTTTCACGGGGATTGCCTAAGACCATCCTGCATATTGTAAGGTATTTACATTACAATTCATAACAGCAACATTACAGTTATGAAGTAGCAATACAAATAATTTTATGGTTGGGTCACAACATGAGGAACTGTATTTAAAAGGCCAGAAGGTTGAGAACCACTGGTGGTTGACACACCCTCACACATCATGGCTGCAAGCACAGTGGAGGCGAGGCCCAGTGGAGAGCAGAGTTGTGGTAGGGGATGGCAGTTGGAGGCCATCAACCGGCTGGCAGGGGAGGGCAGTTGGGGGCCATCAGGCCAGCAGTGGAGCAGTTAGGCGTTGATCAGGCTGGCAGGGGAGCAGTTAGGAGGCAATGAGAGGGATGTCCTAGATTGGAGAGGGTGCAGGCTGGGCTGCACCCTCTGCACAAATTTCATGCACTGGGCCCCTAATTTTTAATAGTGTTTCAATTCTGTTATTTTAATTCCTCTGGACATTCAAAAGAGTGATTTAATTGTCTTATTTAAAAACTAGAGACCTTGACTTGACCGGTTTGGCTCACTGGATAGAGTGTTGGCCTGGGGACTGAAGGGTTCCAGGTTCGATTCCGGTCAAGGGCATGTACCTTAGTTGCAGGCACATCCCCGGTGGGGGGGTGTACAGGAGGCAGCTGATCGATGCTTCTCTCTCATCGATGTTTCTGACTATCTCTCTCCCTTCCTCTCTGTAAAAAATCAATAAATATATTTAAAAAAAAGAAAGATGAGCATAATTGATCAGCATATTTAAGGACAAATTTTTCAAGTAGTATCATCCAGAGTCTATAAACAAATGAGCACTTGGAGCATCCAGATTCCATTAAGACTGTGAAAGGTTAACGAAGTCATTCAGTCCAAACTTCACCCTCTAGAGCAGTGGTTCCCAA